ACTTAAAAAATGAGAAATTACTATATACCACTATAGAGCTACAAATGGCAATCCTCTATTGCTAAAGTCAACCATGATAAGGAGGCAGTGTGACTAGTATAATCATTCTGGCCCATGTAGTAGGACTAACTTATGGGCTAGAGGACAATTATACCCCCATGTAAAGGCAAAGTGATGGGCTGGCCACCAGGTCTTGCCTCCAACATAAACATAAAAAGTAGCTCAGTGCCAGTAAACCACTGAGTAACACTCTCTAGTACCCAACCAAGGACACTTAAAACAAAAAATAAATTGAGAAAAGTTAACCCTATAAAAAAAAATGGAGCCACAGTTGATTTTGCCCTCATTCCATTACTCCAGTTGACTGGCTGATGGTTTTAATTCCATCCTATCCTTCCCAGTGAGCTCCATGTCCAGCTGAGAAACTACAAGAAAAAAGACTCTTATGTGAACCCAGAATTCACACTTTAAATGATCCTCAACCCTGTACTTCAGTGTTACTTCCATTTGCCACCTCATAAGAGAGTAGCCCTGGTACAACATACTGCCAAGATTAATAGCCGTATCCAGGAGTAGCTCATCATTGTGGGATGATGACAAAATATAACTTATTCAGGTAAGATTTCTTTAAAATATCCTTCAATTGTTCACCCCTATAGTATGGGAGAAGGATGGAACTTGACAATTGTCAGTTCCAAGTTCTAATCCCTGTCCTACTACAGAGTGGAATCATGATCTTGAGCCTGTTTCCTTGGATCTGATAGTAATGCTGGCAAGAGCAGCAGCAGTAGTAATTGTCCAATAATAGCACGGTCCCTCACAGAACTGTTGTGGGAATTTAACTCTACATTGCAATATGGATGTTAGTTATTACCGATTTTCTTTACTTAGGCAAAAGGTAACCATTCTTTATAATATTTATTTTATAGCAGAAATACAGGAGTATAGGAAACAAAGGATAAATGAAGTTTGAGTCTCACATTTAAAGCTATTTTCCCCTTCAAATATCCCCTATTCTTAAGTAGGATCCAATTCAATCAATATTGTCTCTTTAAAAAACACAAGGCATGTTTGACAGACAATCCAAATGGTAAGTGAGAAGTCACCTGTAACATAAAGATGCTCAAATCAAAGGAGACTGGAATATAGATTCACATCAAAAGAATGATTCACATCATTCTTTTTTTTTTTTTTTGAGACAGAGTCTCACTCTGTTGTCTGGGCTACCGTACTATGGCGTCAGCCTAGCTCATAGCAACCTCCAACTCCTGGGCTTAAGCAATCCTTCTGCCTCAGCCTCCCGAGTAGTTGGAACTACAGGCATGCGCCACCATGTCCAGCTAATTTTTTTTTTCTATATATTTTTAGTTCACTAATTAATTTTATTTCTATTTTTAGTAGAGACGGGGTGTTGCTCTTGCTCAGGCTGGTCTCAAACTCCTGACCTTGAGCGATCCGCCGGCCTCAGCCTCCCAGAGTGCTAGGATTACAGGCGTGAGCCACCACGCCCAGCCAATTCACATCATTCTTGAAGGGAAACTTTAAGAATCTAAGTTCCCCAAAACTTACATGGTTAAAATAATCATTTTATGATTATTTACATAATGTCACAACTGCAATCCAAATCAAGAATGAGCCAATTTCCTCTGGTTCAAATACCACTTTTGGTTTTTTTTTGAGATGGTATCTTGCTGTGTTGACCAGGATAGAGTATAGTGGTGTCATCATAGCTCACTGCAACCTCAAACTCTTGGACTCAAGTGATCCTCCTATCCCAGCCTCCCAAGTAGCTGGGACTACAGGCATGCACCACCACACCCAGCTAATTTTTCTACTTTTTGTAGAGACAGGGTCTCACTATGTTGCCTAGGCTGGTTTTGAACTCCTGGTCTCAAGCCACCTTCCCACCTTGGCCTTTCAAATGCTAGGATTACAGGTGTGAACCACCAAGCCTGGCCGTATACCACATTTTTAAAAATTACAACATTTAGTGAGAACTCAGAAGTCTAAGAGATCAAAGTATTTTGTTAGACTCACTGTACCTGTGAAGCAGTGTTGGTGGACAAAGAGAATAATAAAGATCATGCTCTTTAGATGGGAAGGGGTTGGGTTCAACCAGAGCTAACAGTCATTTCCTTCATTCACTCCCAGTGTGACATATTTGGGTTATAACACAGGACAGGAGGATTCTGAAATCAGAATGGCAGCTAGTAAATTCTCAAACTGCGGCCTTGTTGATTGGTTCCCTGGGCCACTCCTCTCCCCTAGTCCCGCTGTTTCTCTGCCACATCTCCTGACACCATGCCTTCACTCATTCCACTTGAGCCACTCTGGCCACTTCGTTTCTCCTGACTGGCCCAGGAATGCTCCTAGGTTTCTGCCTCGGTGCTATTAGCCTTGCCTTCCCTCTGGCTGGAATGCTCATTACCAGACAGATGCATGGTTCTTTCCTTCACTTTCTTCCAATCTTTGCTAAAATGTCACCTTGCCAGTGACACTTTTCTTGTCTGTCCTAATAAAAATTGGAGCTCTCGGTGCTATTAGCCTTGCCTTCCCTCTGCCTGGAATGCTCATTGCCAGACAGATGCATGGTTCTTTCCTCCACTTTCTTCCAATCTTTGCTAAAATGTCACCTTGCCAATGACACTGTTCTTGTCTGTCCTAATAAAAATTGCAGCTCTTCCTTCTCTGTTTAATTTTTCTCCATAGCACTTATCTGACATATTATATATATATCATTAATTATTACTTCATTTTCTATCATTTCCTCATCAGAATAAGAGCCTCTGTTATTGTCTGCTTTGTTCACTGCTATATCACCAGTATCTAGAACAGTGGCTGGCATGTAGTAGACTCTCGGTAAATATTTGTTGAATGGTACAAGTGAGTGAACAAATTACAAACTATTCCATCTGTAAGACTACCAAAGTCAAACCTTCAACTTCTTTGAAGAAAGAAAGGAGACAACAGGATTTAGGATAACATGATTAAGACTTAAGGAAGAACGTGATGGCAATGTAAATCAGCCTGGATAGGGGAAAAGGTACAGTCATCATCTTATGACCTACATCTTCCCAGTTATTCTCAAACTTAAGAATGCCTAAAAATCATCTGACTGATTATTATAAATACAGATTCCTAGGCTGCCTCCAGAAAGACTGATTTGGTAGTGATTCTGATATGGGTCGTCCACAATCCATCCCTTGAGAAATACTGCCTAGGCTGGGGCACAGTGGCTCATGCCTGTAATCCTAGCACTCTGGGAGGCAGAGGCGGGAGGATCGCTCAAGGTCAGGAGGTCAAAACCAGCCTGAGCAAGAGTAAGACTCCGTCTCTACTAAAAATAGAAAGTAATTAATTGGCCAACTAAAAATACATAGAAAAAAATTAGCGGGGCATGGTGGAGCATGCCTGTAGTCCCAGCTGCTCAGGATACTGAGGCAGGATGATCGCTTGAGCCTTTGAGTTTGAGGTTGCTGTGAGCTAGGCTGATGCCACAGCACTCTAGTCCAGGCAACAGAGTGAGAGTCTGTCTCAAAAAACAAAACAAAACAAAGAACAAAAGAGAAATACTGCCTAGTGCCGCTGCTGGTTAGACGTCAGACTTAGGAGAACTCTTATCCACGTAAGTTCACCAAAGCAATTTTAATTGATACCATGGTAAAGCAATAAGCACTAACTGTAAACAGGTCAGACACGCACAAGAGATAATCTTTTGCACGTGTGTACTTTGACTAAAAAGGTAAGTCTCTCTCCACAGTCATAAAGATTTCTGTGGTACTTAAGGCAGTGCTATGCCCAGGAAGGTTGTTATTCCAGGTAAGTACTTTGGTTCAAGGTCATTAAGCCAAGTCCACATTAAGTAGGCTAAACTCATGGCAAATTCTGGTTTTGCAATAACAGGTATTCACACAGTCTGTTTTTGTGTTTTTCATAAAAGCCAGACCTTCCTCATGTTTCTGCCACACAGAAAGCCACACATTAGATAAAGGATAAAGTATATGACCTACCAGAGTGACAATATAAACAAAATGAAATCATAATGGTTCCAAATTTGATCTTGAATAAACAAACAAACCCAGGACACCCCCCACTACAGAGCTAAATCAGTAGGGCCATACATAGCACACCTAAGGACAAAGATTGAATAGCTGCTTGTTTAAAGACTGGATCATTGAAATAAAAACACAAATCCTCTTCCCAATTTGCCAGTTATACCACTGAATTGCTACAGAGAACAGATAACTACACTCTGTGTCAAGAATGGAACTAGCTCTACAGATGTTTTCTCCAAATTCCAAAGAATGACCCTAACCCATAGGCTTTTTATTCAAGGCTTTTAAGTTTGTTTTTCGAATGCAGAAACAGCTGGTGCCTACCCCTCCAGGGAAAACACTAGTTCTGGAAAGCCACCAGTTGGGGGATAGTGGGTGGAGGGGAGGAAGAGTGGTTATTTTCTTCTTTTATTACAAATGAACATGTTCCTTTACTCAAATCTTTTGTCCCAAGCTTAAAATGCTCTTTACACACCTTGAAAATAACAGTCATCGGAGCTGGAAAATCAGTGGTGCCCAGCCTGTTTTACAGACATTCCTGAAGTGTTCATTTACAATAAATAATAATTTTGAACCAAAGGAAATTCTCATGGAGGTCTAGGGTATCACTGACCTCAGGAATCTTTGGTGTTGTCCCAAACTATGGGCCACTCCTCTATACTAGTTTTAATAATTTCTTGAATATATTACAAATAATACTAATTTTGAAAGATGACTCCTACTAATATCTTACAAACAGCTCCCCATTACATCTGACATATTTTGCTAAGGATAAATAAGAGCAGGTAAGGTATGTGATGATCCTCCAAAGAATCAAAAAATAAGGGAACCATGCTACCTGAATATCCCTGACTACATTTCTTTCCAAAGAGGTGAGTGCTCTGCTAAGCCCCACAAGGTCCAAGTTGGTAGTGGCCAGCTACTCGGCTTTCTCAATAAACTCACCTTCTCTCCTTGGAGTGATGGGACTGAGTCCCGCAAACTGTGAAAGCTGTCTTTAATGTGGTCCCTACGTTTTCGTTCCAGTGCATTATGATGAGCCCGTTTGTCAGCCTAGAAGAATAGGAGAAAGAGCACATTAGGAATGTCACTCCTTTTGCTTGGTACTGGTGAGTGGGGTACAGCCTGGAAGTATATGCTGTCAGCGCTGTCCCTGGCGAGTGGACTGGGAAGGATTTGTCGAGGTGGGCAGTTAGGAGTCTCCAGAATTAGGCTCTGCTAAAGGGGGAGAAAGGGGTGAGCAAGGCTTGCGACAGGAACATCCAAAGTAGCTCGATGCATCCAGCTCATGCATAAGTAAAATAAAAGTTATTCATGGGGGCAAAGTGTGATTCTCCTACAACATTAGTGGTCCCAACTTACTTATGTGACAGAACAGCCACCAGTCTGTGGTTAGGAGGTGACTATGGAAAGCTCCAGTGGGCCCCTTCTTAAGATGTGATCACCCCAACTGTAAGAGATTCCCCAAGTTGGGTTGCCCAGAAAAGGAGTTAAGTCATTGGTGCAGTGCTTCATTCCATGTGAAACCCATCACCGTGAGTCTCTGGAATTTCTGGCCTGGTCTCCAGCCCGCTACAAGGCACTAGTTTAAGACCTTCTCATCAGATCATACAATAGAAACTAAAACCTTTAGAAAACCCAGATGCATGAATCTGAGATCATTATGACAGAGCTGATAGAGATGCCAACTGCATTCTGAGTTTCTGTTTTTTAAAGTAGATCCAAGGTGCTATCCTGCCAAGGGCTTCCCTTCACACAGACTGTGCCAGAAAGGCAGTTCTTAGAGGGCAGACCGGACACCCGCATACTCAGAATAAATTCCCTCAGGCACCTGGGGCAGGTCTGGCTAATTTGGCAGTATCTAAATATCCCAAATCAAAGTATTTAACCTGTCCTGGTTGGAATCACAAAGAACAATCAACTGGAAGTGGACAAAGGCTGCCAACAACAAATCAGGAACGACAAAATGCACTGGCTTCAGATGTAAGAGACAGTACTGGAGATCACAAGAGTGCTTCAACAGGTCCCCATTAAAGGGACACCCCCTCTCCAAATGGTACACAAACAATGCAAAAGCAAGAACTTCATCACACCTATACTCTGGAAAATATACTTTGAGAATTTACCATAAATACACAAATTACACATAAAGAGGTTCAGGTAGTTTTAATCTACTCAGAGTGCCAGGAATTTAAAAAATGAAGCAACAAAAGTAAATAACTTGCCTTAGCACAAGAATAATCCAGCTTCAAATGAATCCTTGTACTAAACAAGATGTACGGGCAAAAATCGAGTATAAAGACGAGTTGCTAGATGCGGTGGCTCATGCCTATAATCGCACAACTTTGGGAGGCCTAGGCAAGAGGAGCCCCTGAGACCAAGAGTTTGAGTCCAGCCTGGGCAACACAGTGAGACCCCATCTCTTAAAAAAAAAAAAAAAAAAAGCCTGGTATGGCAGTGTGAGCCTCTAGTCCCAGCTACTTCAGAGGTTGAGGTGGGAGGATCACTTGAGCTCAGGAGTTCAAGGCTACAGTGAACTATGCCATGCTACTGCACTCCAGCCTGGGTAACAGAGTCAGATCCTGTCTCCAAAACAAAACAAAACAAAACAAAACAAAACAAAAACAAGAGTTGTGGGAATGAAAGGATTTGAAATTCTCATATTATCTAGTCTTAAAAGTCTGAGTCATTATGTCAGAAGAGGCAGAGAGCTCCTGTGGTCATTTCAGTTACTTCCTGGTCTCTCCAGCACAATACCTCACCTACAGTTTTGTTGAGTTGGACATGTGGTTTCCATCACAACCATGGTTCTCCATACCATATCACTCTTTTGGAGGGGCAGAAGCTTGGAGCACTTCTAAAGCTGTCTTCATCTTGTTAAGTCTGAATTCACCGTAAAATGAATGTTTATTGAACTACAATGATATACGGAATATTATGGGGAAACTGAGGCTAGAGGTAGGTACTCTGTCTTATCTATTACAGCAAGAAAATTGTAGATGCCTTCTGACAGATGAAATGGCTTGAAAGAACTAAACGTATTTAAGTACCTAGTCCCTTTCTAACTTACTATTTCCTCTAGTCATCCATACAAAGGTAAGTTGGGCTGGGACTATACCTAAGGAGCTTAGAAGGCCAAGGGACAGCATTTGGCAGGTATCTCCCTCTCCTGTCTTTGCTACATAATACCTAAGATGGTTTATTTACATGCAAATTAATCACCCAGCTTTGGTCTCCAGCAGTAGCCCAAGATACTCTCCTCTACTAAATCACCCTGATTCCTGGCCCTCCTCCCAGCTTAAGAGCTGTGCACAGAAGCAGTGACACCAGAGTTACCCACAATCCCTCCTGTTGATACAAATAAAATTCTAATTGTTGTGTTTTCTTTCTGGGAGAGTCTTACAAATCTCAAATGGCTGGAATCAAGTTGGACTTGGTTTCATGTGGGCCTGCACTAGAAGGGTGGAGCTAAGTATAATCTGACACCAGAATCATGCCCATAATGCACAACCCGCTTCCCATTCACTGAGCCCTGAAAGGACTCAAATGGACAAGTCTTTTGGTTAGAGGACTGTAAGTGAACTTGGCTTTGGACCATCAGCCGAAATCTTGGCTTCTCATCTGGGGAGCCAGCCAAGTTTGAGAAGTTGGCTCAACAAGGAAAGGCAGCAGTCCACTGCCTGGTAGAAAGCCTGGGCTGGGGACTGTTGTTCTCAAAGTAGTGGATGGAATTTCTGTAGTGGTTCCAGGTCCAATTTAACTAGTAGAAGAGTGGAATCTTAGACCAATCCCTGCTGCCATGTCCATCCCTGAGCTGCTACCAGAGTCAATTTTAAAGCTCTCAGAGACAATGGCAAGGATGTTATTTTTCCTCTTCCCTAAGCCTCATTTAAAAGAGCAAGTTAAAAACATGCAGAACTAATATGCCAAATTCTAGGCAACTCTGAATTAAATATCTATATCACGAGTATTTTAAAAGATCACATGAAAAACCTTTACACAAGGGTAAGAATTCTCTTTGGAAAACATTTCCAAACCACAGATCCATCCAGCCCAATAACTTTGCCCCCTTCATGGAGGGCCACTTGGCAGGCTCACCACAGCCTTGTTAACTGTCTTCACTTGCTGGCAACCCTTTGTGAAAGGGCCAAGATTTCAGAGATTAGAAAGAAAAACTGGGTGAAGACTCCCAGTGTAAGGCATCTATGATCCTCTCACAAAGTTGAAACTGGCTTAAAAAAAAAAAAAAAAAGCCACAATTGTGTCTTAAACAAATAAAAGTCAACTCAGATGAGCCAGCTTTCTCTCCCCTGTACTGAGAATGATGTTTGATAATGAAAACAGACGGTACTGAAAGCACCCTTGTGGAATTAATTAGGCTCTATTCTAGGAGACAACAGAGGTATTCCTGGGCTGTACAACAGGCCCCCAAATATCTCTCCTACACATCCTATAGGAGCAGTGGCTGGACGCTGCCCACTCTTCAAGTACACTGGATTTGCACAGCTGGGTTTCCGCCAGAAAACCCTTCCTTTAGGGCATCCCAGTCTAACAGAAATACTAAGGGGCTGTGCAGTGGCCCACAGATGCTGAACAGCAACTCCCTCACCAAATCACTTCCAGCTTTGACATCTCTGCCAAGGTTTTTACTCAGCCTCTCTCAGTTTTATTTCTACCAAACTTTCCACACTGGCAGCCAGAATAAAAATCTTCACCTACAATTTGTCCATCTTTGACACTCACCAAGCATGTGTATCTTAAGTGTTGTTAAATGTTAAAGGCAAACATTATTTTGTTAGCCAAGAAGTTGCTAAACTGGCAGGACGTCATTCAAGCTAAGGAGGTCTGTTCAGAAAACTGAGAGAAATCTCTTGAAATTATTTCCTTCCAACTTATTGCATGGAGAATACGTCTTCATTCAAGCATTACATCAGTCAGCAACCTTATTTCCTCCAAGTTTTAGGAAAATAGCATGGGGAAATAAATGCTTCATCATTCAAGGATGCACAAGGTTCTCCAGAACAATGCCATTTCTTGCACTCTGATATCTAACCCTATCTACAAGGGGAATCTTCTCAATCCCAGTACAGAAAGTTCTTAGCATACAGAGTATTAGAGTTGTCCACCAAATATTTACCGCCTTTAGGAAATTTAAAGCTTGCAGTTTAGAGGAAAATAGTGTTCCTTACATTATCAAGCTATGTGTATTAACACTAAGGACACAGAATGCACAGGCCCATAATTCTCATCAGAAAAGACCTATTTATTAATTCTGATAGATAAGAACCAGATAGAACAAAGCTGAATTTCTAAGTAAAATATTCATTTTAATCAACATGAAAATTACAACATGAAAGAATGGGCAGCTAGGATGAGATAAACTCACTAAGGTCCCTAACAGAAAGATACTAATTTCAATTTCCCAACATCTCTCCTGTTTGTAGCCAACTGCCTGGCATACATTTCCAACATTATCTAATGTGTACATTTGTCTTCAAAACTTTTCCTATCATTTGGCGCCTAAAAGAACTTGAGAACACTATTATCCAGACATGGCATCATACTACAGCCATTTAAGAAGGACGCTTTTGTCAGGAAATTTTATTTGAAAACCAAGTTGGATTCCTTTCATCATTACTTGAAAAAAGACTCTTTTCAACATAAGAACATCTTTTACTAACAGACAAACATATTTAAGAACTTAACCTGGCATTTCTGTTATCTCTGTCAACACTCTAAGCAGAAAGTACACGCATCATGCGGCACTTGTGCCATGTAACCGATTCCAGGTAAAACAGTTTCCTGAGTGAATTCCAATCTCAAGAGACGACCAAACTCATTCTCTTCTGAATACATTGCAATTCCTAAAGAAGCAAAGAGCTCTGAGAAGTTAAAAACATTTTATACCAGAAAGGTCCAGAAGTGGAACTGCAAACGTCTTTTATTTAACCCCCCTAATAGGTATACCGTAACTACAACATGTTCAGGTGCCATGAAGGACAATAACTAAAAAAGGACTTGTGTTTCCTGACCAACACATTAACCCTACACTTCTTGTTTACTTTCACTCTTTCACAAAGAAATTTCCTAAACAAAAGTAAAGCAAAAGGAGTCCCTTGAATAAAACATACCTGTCCCAGAAATTAATCTTTAAAATGCAACCATTTCCTTTCAAAAAATAATAAAAATAAGATAATATCTGTGGGATTCTGCAATGTATTGTATTTAGTAATAAGATATTGTTTGGGGTTACTTCCTTTAAAAAACCTTACTGGTCACTGGAGAAGCTGTTTTCGGTTTGTACTGAAGCAACAGAAAAAAATATTCATCAAATTAGTTTCACTTTCTGTTACAGTTAGCCTCACTTCTTAACTCTGTTCTTGTTCAGTAGCCCACAATTCTCATGCAGTACGGCCTAGCTATTATAGTGACATTATAAAACAAGAATGAACGTCTCTTTTTACATCAGGACCCACAGAACCTTTTCCAAATAACTTTTTTAAAGTTCTTCTCTAGTTCTAAATATTTGGTTGTTCACAGTCCACACCTTTTTCTGGACATTTTTGTAAGGCAAAACTTAGGAATAGCTTCCTCCTAAAATTTTTAAAAATATATTTATTTATATCAAATCTCAGAAAGTAAGCAGATGCATTTATGGAGGGAAAAAATGGAATCCTTTTTACCCTACACATTCACAATAATAGTTTGATATACTATAAAATTTGTAACACATCTGCTTTTTCTTTCCATGCTGTTGTGATTATCTTATACCAGATAATATTTAAAAGTTTCAACAAATAGATGACTCAAATTAAAAACAAAGAGTCAAATCTACTTCCCTTGCTAACCCCCCAAAATTAAAGGTAAAAATCCTAGGCACCTTAACCGCAAACCAGAAACATCTAGACAAAACAATGAGATTAGCATTCTGAGAGGAGAAACATTTTAATAATTTAATAAACAAATTTACATCAACACCCACGTGGATGAACATTTTGAAAAGCAGAAAGCTTTCAAGAACTGTGAACCAAAATTCACAAAGAAAACTTTTTTCTCACTGGAAAGCCAAGATAATTTCAATTCAAAGGATGATTCTGCAAAGGAAGCCTAATCAGTCCTTACCCTCCAACCCTGATCAAACCCTAAGGCAGATTTCACAACTGGAGACTTGGAAGAAAACAAAATGTTTTAAACAGACTGAGCCCCAAACATGAGGATAACTGTAACTGAAAAAAAAGGAATTCAACTTTCAAATATATGTGTAAGTATGTGACAATACTTCAAAGAGAAATAAAACAAATTCTCTTTAACGTCCATTATGCAAGAACAATTTTTAAGAGCGCTGGAACAACAGCATCCTCACATTTTATGGAAATAGCAGCTCTCAATAAATAAAATTTTTCTGAATGCCAATTTGCTTGAACAACCTACACAATCTTTGCTTGCTCTAATGAAAAGCAGGTACAACTTACAACTGTAGCCTTTATCCTGTGGCTATTAAATTCTTATGCCAGAGGTCAAAGTGGAATCCTGCAAACTCTAACAAGCCCCCAAACAACTGTTCCACATATCATTTTAAAAATCAGAAAAATAACATAATAACATAATATTTAGAATTCTAATCTTTCTTAAAAATTAGGATGATCTGGCAACAGTGAGCCCTTACTCCCACATAACAACCCACTGGAGTAGCTGCCCTTTTAGAAGAGGCACATGATCTCCAGTACCCAAGTTCTCAAGTCTTCTATTTTATCCCTCCCCACAACCCCCACAGGGTCTCACTTTATTGCCCTGGCTAGAGTACAGCGGTGTCATCATAGCTCACTGCAACCTCAAACTTCCGGGCTCAAGGGGTGTACACCACCATGCCTAGCTAATTTTTCTATTTTTTGTAGAGACAGGGTCTTACTGTGTTGCCTAGACTGGTCTTGAACTCCTGGCCTCAACTGACTCTCCCACCTTGGCCTCCCAAAGTGCTAGGATTACAGGCGTGAGCCACTGTGCCCACTGTACTTTATTCTTGACTGTCCCACTGCTTGGCCCACATGTGCATTTGAATTTTTGACCTCCATTCTATACACTTCTTACTGTTTCCAACTGTCAAATATCAGACACTTATTTTTCTTCCCCTCCGATTCTGATTTATTCTGTCTACTCTTTGTTTTTTCTCTAATCTAATCATGAAACACCCACATTACTGTCTCGGACTCCAAAGACACAAGATTAGTGCATATCTAAAGCCACAGAACCATCTACTGAGAATATTAATATCAAAACCCTAAGCAATTATTGATAACATTATATGGTCTCACCTATTACCTTTCAGCAAAGCTGTCTCTGCAATGCCAGTTTCCTTCAACAATTTTTAAAATTGTCTTTATACCTGTCTTTTAACTCAAATATAAAGAGTCAGATCATAATAACCTGTATGGGACACTTTTATAATTCAACCTTTGGCTCTCCTACATTTCCAACTTTTGCACTAAAATACCATGTCATGCTCGATTCCATGGGTATGCAGCAGTCACATGACTTTTGGTTAAAGGTGATTATTGCATGTGGCTTCAGCTTCACACTACTATGCAGATATGGTTTAAAACCTACTTGTTCCTAAGTAAATCGTTCGACCATTTTGCCCTGAAATAATACTACCACTTACTTCAGAATGCTGTATTTCTCGTTTCCCACTTACATAGTGGCAGTTGGATCCCACCATCTGAAAACTACAGAACAATTCAATTCTTTGATAGAGCTCCTATCACTCGCCTATAGTCACTGGAATTTATCACCTGAGAATCTAAAATTATGGGATTTGCAAATGCCCCCCCGCCCCAGAACCGGCCCCACCTCCACCTTGGCGATTAACGGGAGAGTATACTACAATATTAAAGGTAATAGAAAAATCTTTTTTTTCTGTGTGACCCCAAAAAGGACTAGAACTGAACGGAAATGAAAATGAAATGGAGAGTAGGAGACGTACCGCAGATTGAAACCTCGGTTGCTCTTCCTGGAATAAGAGAGAAAAAAAAATAGAAAATATAGAAGTTATTTTTACACTTAACATTCAATAATAAGAAAGAAAATGCCGGCGGCAGAGGAAGCGGCGGGTGGGGAGGCAGCCCGGCACCCCCCTCCCTTTCTCCGTCTCCACCCTTTGCCCCCACCCTCCCACCCTCAGCAGGATCCGGTAGCGGGGTAGGGGGGTACCGAGCGCCGCCCCTCCTTCCGGGATCAGACACGGGCCAGAGGGGTCTTAGCACTGTCTCCTCCCCTCCGACTCAGCTCGGGCATCCAGGCACTCCCAATCCCTCTCCGCCCTCCCTCACCCCCAGGATCCGCGGGTCACGGGAGCAGGGGGGTCCTGGACCAAAGGGGCAGGTCCTGAGCAGCGTCCCCTTCCCCAGGATCCGGACAATGGGATCCCAGGCGCCCCTCATCGCTGTGCCTCGGATCCTGAGCGGGGTAGGGGGGGAGTGGAGGCTGCAGCACCCTCATCCACGGGAGAAGGTGGGGGTCCCAAAGGCCGCGTGTCTCCTCCCCACCTCCAGTCCCAGGAGGCCGCTCCAGCCAGGAGCCCGGAGGGGAGCGAGCCGGGAGCGCGACGGAGGCGGTCCCGGCCCGGGAGCGAAGAGGAAGGAGGAGGCGGCGGCCCGGCCCCCTCCCGCCGTCGCCCCGCTGAGAGCCCCGGCCGCTGTCCCCGCCTGACAACCCGCAAGGGAAGGAAGAAACCCCGGGACTCACGTCGCTCTCCACCTCGATGTCATCGTTATCGCTCATTTCCTACGGCCCAGGGAGCGGCCACTGCAGCGGCGGCGGGGAGGGGAAGGGGTGGAGGGGAGGGGGAAGTCACCGACAACAACAAGCCGAGTCCCCCCACACACACACTCACTCACTCACTCACTCGCTCTCTCACTCACACACACACACACAACACGGGTAAGAACCACCTCCTCACTGCAGCACCGGATCAACGGCGGCACGCACGCCCTGTCGGCCTCTTGCCACGTGACCGAGCTCGTCACGCCGGGGCAGCCGAGACTTGTAGTTTTTGTCCCTCTGACTGACGGCCCGGCTAGAGCCAGCAAAACTACAAATCCCACAAGACACTGTATCCAGTCGACGCCTGCCCGGCTTGTTGACGGAACCCAGAGCGCCTGCGTGTCCCGGGTAGGGGGGCGGGGAGAGAGGCGGCGCGGCCCCTCCTGGGAGTCGTAGTCCGCAGACCGCGAGTTGTCAGGAGGTTTTCCTCCTGAGGCAGCAGAGGAGGCTGCTGGGAAGACAGGACACGTGGAGGGAGCTGGGGCTCCCGGAGCCGGGCACCGTCTGAGCTCCGGGCGCCGGGCCCAGGGGACTGGGCGGAGGCTCACGGGGAGTAGCCAGCTGCCTAAATAACGCTGCCTCTCTTTGGTGCGACTGGTTTTATTTCGTCTCCTTGGTGTCTGAGTCGCCCCGCTTTGCGCTTTGGGGCGTAACCCGCCCAGAAGGGAATTCTGGTGCGGCGACCGGGGGGCGCGGCTCGGGACGCCCACGCGGACCCTCGGGATCTGGGGGGGAGGTGTCAGTGGCAGGTGTTAAGTGGGGTTACAGGGCACGCAGGGTGACCGGCCTCGCTGTGGGGCCGCTCGCAGCCACGAGAATCTTCCTATTCCAGAGCGACCATCCTCACTACTCAGCTAGTCACGTGAGGTTCGTACAGTCACAGAACCTCAACAGCCGGGAATGTGGGAGTAAAGCCCCTTCCGAGGTTAGTGTAGCACAGGCAGTCTAGGGAGTGCCCCACTTCAGAGTACCATAATTAAGACTGCAAAAAGAATCAAAAAGGGAAACTTGTGCAGCTCTCTGTCCAGTTAAAATCATATGTATATACTGTGGCATGAGGTGTAATCACATCATTCCACCAGTATTTATTGAACACCTAACATGTGCCAGCACGAGGATGCCATGGTGTCTGAGACCGGAATGGTCCCTGCCCTCGTGCAGCTCGCAGCTGTTCAGGCAAACAGGAGATTGTCCTGCCGCCATTTTAAGAGTGCGCATCAAGTCCCACGGGAAGGAAAAACAAAACAGTAACAAAGACACGCTCCACCGTGACATAAACCACCAAAATGCTCTTTTATATCTGGTCTCCAAAATGAAGAAAATCTTGAGCTTTTCCCATGAGTTGCTGATTCCAGAATGAAAACCGTTTTATCCCTGACTTTTGAACGCCAAATCTCGGGATATGTGGTCTCACAGACACTTTGTGCCATATACCCCCAGTGTGAGCGTATCATCCATGCTGAAGAGACAGATGTAAATGTGGCAATCCTTCCTTTACATTTTTTCTCTTAAATGTTTGTTGTATTTCTTATTCATTGATCCAGCCCTACTGAAGTCTGCTCATGTTTGCAAGTGAACTTATCTTTTCTGGATGCTTTTGTGTCCTAGGGTTCCTTTCACACTAAGCTGGGGAGACATAAATAAGCTGACCATTATGTGATAAGAGCTGATGGGCTATAAGGGAGACAGTGGTGGTAGCTCTTGAGTAATTTAATTAACTGGATACTAGAAGTTAGGGCTCATTGATGATTACAACCAACAGTAGTTGGGTGTCTGCTATGTGCAGAGCACTATAGGGCACCCCTGGCTACAAGTTAAAATCACCCTGGGATCTTCAAAAAATTCCCATCCCTAGGCCACTTAAGCCAGAACCTCTATGGGTGGGAACCAATTAAGCCAGAACCTCTATGGGTGGGAACCAGGAAGCAGTATTTTTTAAAGCTCTCCAGGTGATTACAATGTGCATGCACCCAAGACTGAGAACCACTGCTATAGAGGTTACCAAAATCAATAAGGTAGTCTCCCACTGAAGTGTACACTTTACAAGAGTGAATTTTATGGTATGTAAACAATTATATTTCAATAAAGCTATTACAAAAGAAAAATAAGATAATTTTGGCTCAGATGGAATCTAAAACCTGACAGGAGTAAATTATGAGCACATATAATTGCAATGAAGACAAACTATGTAAGTGTCAAATTATTTGTACGGGTAGTGAATGCTGTAAGAGCTCAAAGGAGGGAGATAAAGTACTAGGTCTGAGGTGGGGGTGGAGAGGTATTGGTGATCAGGCATGTCTTCTTAGGTTGTCAGCTCCATCAGGACAAGGGCTGGGTCTGCAAAGACCAGGTCAGATTTTGCTCATCATGAATCCCCAGTTGTTGGATGGAGGCCTGAGCAAGTAGGCTGAGGTGAGGAGGAATCGCTTTCCAGGTAGGGAGACTGGAGATTTTAACATATCTCTTTTTAGTAATCGATACAATATGAAAACATGTCAACCTCATTAATAAATTTGACCTAATAGATAAAACACTGCACCCAAAATTGCAGATTATGTGATTTTCAAGCACTCCTGGAACATCTATGAAAATTGACCATGTGCTAAGCTATAAAAGCAAATCTCAACAAGTTTCAAAGAACTATAATCTTAGAGTGCATGTTCTTGGACCTAATGCAATTGAAATAGCAATAATGACAAAAAAATAACTAGAAAATTCTTATAGGTTTGTGATTTAAAAAGCTTAAATGACCCAAATGGAAGGATTTTCACTAGCAAAGCATGTATGCAGGAAAGAATGAGGTAGATGAGAATAGAAGGTCCCTGTAGTTTTCATTCTTAGTGCTTTTCTGATGTGAATAACAATCTAGGAACCTAGGAATTCATTTTCATCTCTTTGCTAAAGTCCATGTGAGCTCATCAGGACTGGACCCATCAGCCCCTTGCTACATTAAGTGTGGTCCAGTGTCAAACACATCACCGGGAAGCTGGTTAGAAATGCAGAACCTCAGGCCCCACCCCATTATAGCATTCTGTCCGGGTAATTCATATGCACATTACAGTTTGAGAAACTCCGAAGAGGGAGAGGAGAGTGGAGGCTGGACATCCACACTACTGCTTGACTAAAATCACTCTTTTCTAAGTCACCAGCTACTCCTTTATTGTCAAATTCAAAGCGCTTATCTTACCAGTTCTGATGGTGGCCTTCTCCTCTTTGGTTGGCCACTCCTCTTTCTTGAAGGCCAAGAACTCTCGTACTTTTCTCCTCCCTCCTCTGGTTCCCCTTGCTCCATCACAGTTTGAGTTCCAAGGGCTCTGTGGCTAGCACTCAGCTCATTTCCTTCCTCCCTTGCCCTGCTGGGAGCCTTTACCTCCTGATGCTTTGACAAATATCTCTTTGATGGTGACCCCAAGACTATCTCTCTCTCTCTTTAACTCTACATTGTTATGTGCTATTTATTTCTGGACATATCTACTTGTATTATTTCACCAGCAACTCAAAACTCAAGGCTTGTGGATGGGTGAGAAAAAGCAGGTTTTGCTATAGCATTTGGAATATGAGCCATTCGTATAAAATTGAGCATATCTGTATATGTGTGCAGAGAAATGTGTAGAAGAGTATTCATTAAAAACATTAAAAGCATATGTCTCTAGGAAGTGAGATTTCCAATGATTTTCCTTTTTCTTTTCTTAAGTGAGCAGTACTGTTCTCACCAAAACAGTAGAACTACTAAAAGACAACCACTATCTTAGTAAGTCCACTATCTTTCCTAAGCAGCAAACTTCTCAAACCATAAGCCTTAGGAAGACAGTCGCATCCTTTTCCCCTGTCAGTTGTGCTTGCTTTCTCCTTATTTGGGGGAGGGAGTGTAACCACTGGGATCTCCACAGGAACCAGCTGGCATACTCAAATTAGGATCATTTGGAAATTCTTTTGTTTTCTTGAGCTCTGTCGCCCCAGCTAGAGTGCAGTGGCATCATCATAGCTCACTGCAACCTCAAACTCCTAGGCTCAAGTGATCGTCCTGCCTCAGCCTCTCAGAGTGCTAGGATTACAGGTGTGAGCCACTGCGCCTGGCTGGGAATTCCTAATAAAGAGGTGTTTCACAAATATGTTGGCAGGGTATAAAGAAACTGCAAGAGATTGCACAGTACAACTGGGACCCTGTTCCCACTCCTAGGTGTATTGGGGAGAGGGGACAGAGTGGCAGCCAGAACTGGGAAGGGTGCTGTGTAGAGAGGGCCATTGTAGTTCCAGAACAGTTGGATCTGGGAGGCCAAAACAAAGATCTCTAAGCCTGGTGAGGGACACTATCCTCCTCTTCTCACATCTTAAGGAAAACATAGAGCTTCCAATCCACTCTACAGAAAGGAAAAAATATGGGGGGAATACTTCTGGCATCTCTGCTGCTCCTCTATTTCCTGTTGGAAGTGTGTGACTGACTCATCAGCTTGGTGAGCTTGAAGGAGAAACCAGTCACGTATGGCTCAGCTCTTTTTCCCTGAGCTGTAAGGACTTCTCCTCTCCCCTAACGTAGGGGTCTGTTCGTGGGGAGGAGGCCTGTGGTGCCCCAGCTTTGCTATGATGGGCTGGGTAGATTAATTCAAGAAATATCAGGGAGGCTGGGAGCGGTGGCACCTGCCTGTAGTCCCAGCTACTTGGCAGGCTGAGGCGGGAGGATCGCTCGAGCCCTGAAGTTTGGGCAACAGAATAAGACCCCATCTCAAAACAAGAACAAAAACAAAGTAAAAATAAATAAATACATATTGAGGAGGCTACATGGGTTGAACACTGTTTTCCAGTTTAGCCTTATCAATAGCGAAGCTACTATTTTTGTCTCTATCTGTGTGATTTGTGTCTCTGTCTAAATTGTTCCAAATTCAAAGTGGGAGACCTGAATGTTATTTATTGGCCCTCTTAAACCCACTGATTCCTCATCTGGTCAATCAGCAAGTCTGGAATGTTCCTGGTTTTTCATGCTGTTAGCTCCCGCTGAAGTCCTCCTGCCTCATTCAGGCCTCCGCTCTCTCTCACCTGGGCAGCAGCCTCCTAGTGGGTCTCCCTGGCTCCAAGCTCGCCCTTCTCCTGCTGTTCACCCTGCAGCCAACGTGACCTATCTGGAGTGACACGTCTTCACTCCATTAAACATTTCATCCCTTTTAGTGAAGTCAGGATGAGCCTAGACTCCCCAGAGGGGCACCAAAGGCCCTTCATGCTCGGCTCCTTTGCCAGCCTCATCTCTCAGCTCCTATCTCTGGTCTGCCACCCTCCAGCCATGCAGAGTTTCTTGCCTTTCCCCCAAAGGACCATGTTTTCTTTTGCCTCCAGGAATTTCCACACACTGCTCCCTCTGCCCTGAGTGTTATCTCCTCCAAACTACTCCCACTCGTCTCCATTTTCTTCTCATCCTTTGGAGCTCACCCATCACCCCTTCCAGGAAGTCCACCTGGATTCTCCAAGGATGGATTAGGTGCCCATCTACTGTTCCTGTAGCACCTGGTACTTTCCTTCTCATAGGACTTACTGTTCTGTTTGTCACTTCCTGTTTGCCTGTCTCTAGGTTGATTGTAAGCTCCTCAAGGATACGCCCCTCTGTATCTTGGGGTAGCTTTATTCAAGTACACACAACTTTG